TCATCAAGAATTTAGGATTTCTGAGAATTACTGTTGAAAATCTATCAAAAAATAGTGGAAGAATGAATCGTCAAGTTGAATCACAAATTAACAATTCCATAAGCAAATTAACAATTTCGAACATAATTATTGATGGAAAAAAATGAATCTCAAACAAAAGTTGAAACTATAATGAGACAAATTCTTTTGTTGTGAAGCATCTCTCAATGATGAATATAGACATATAGTGGAGTTGATGATGAAGATGTTGATGGTTAAGAGGTGATATCGATTATTTTGAAAGACCTATATGCTTAATTCAACCAGAATTAACACAGATGGCTCTGATTATAATGTTGGTGATTCTTATGATGGATGCACATTTTCTCTTCTCGAAGAACTTAATAATTTGATTTTCTTATAGATAGCTTGCGATTTGATAATTATTTGTTAATTCGCATGACATTAACATATAATCCTGGCACGAATATAAGAGAAGTGGAGATTATTGACATTTAAACTTTAAAACTTTGTTAATTAATGTCATCATATTGCAACCGGCCAACGGGCCGGGTTACAATCTAGTAGTCTGTAGGGGTGTTCAAATGGTTACCATGGTTATAACCAAACCAAATAAGGCTAAATTTCATTAAACATGGAATACAATATCATAACCGAACCGTCCAAACTAATACAACAACCAAATTAACCAAACTAATGTTTAATCGGTTTGGTTAACTGGTTAACCAGATTAACCAATATAAAATCACATTATCATTGACGATAAAAATTTTCCGGTTAATGCAACAATTCGCAATTTATATAATGAATAAAACATAACAATCAACACGTAGTTATAGTTGACCCTTAACAAAAATACATGCAACTAAGAAAATTATCTTACGATTAGTATATAAGTATTCACCTAACAAAAAATTATGACAATGGTATGGGTTAATGAATTATTGTGTTTGTGTAAATTGACTTAGTCTCTTAGCAATTATCATAGGCTGGAAATGACCTTCATTTCAAGTTTTCATTCATCATAATGTATGAAATTTATCTAAATTAGGTGTCCATATGTTGTGGTCTAGACTTTACATATACAAATATACACTATATGCTGACTAATGCACTGCACCAAGACCCAATCTCCTGGCCTTGGCTCTGTCAAGCATCCCTTGCGCGCATGTCCTCCACCTTACACTCCTCGCCTTGGATCCGCGTTGAGTTCGTTCCAAGGAGGCTGAACATGTTGGCGGATTGGGTTGCTACACAAGCTAGGCTTGGTTCATTACCTGTGGATTGGGTTGTAATTTCTAGTATTATTGCTCCACTGTTGTAATGAACCCTCTCTTCTACTTGATCGAATGGAATGGAAGTCTTCACTGTTCAAAAAATATATATATATATATATGAGCATTATTGAGCTTTATATTTTATGAGTCTAAAAGGGATGACCGTTAACTCTTGAGTGGTTATGCAAAGTATTATGTGTATATAATATATGTTAGATATATGACTAATTACTTAACTGGTTAATTTGGTTTGACTGGTTAGGAGTGTCTGAAACCAAACCAAACCACCTAAATCAAACAAGCTAAAAACTTTAACCAAACCAAACCAATTATCCAAATTAACCAAACCAAATTATCCAAATAGTACCGGTTAAAACGGTTACCACGGTAACCAAACCGTTTGAACACCCCTAATTAGTAGTAGATAAGATAGCTAAGTATAGTTTTTTCCCTCTTTTTTCTTTGAGAAGCTGGTTGCAAATTTGGTCCATCAATCAAATCCCAGTGTTGGGATTCTTTCCAGATCATATGCGCATGTGCTGCTCCATCGTATTATTCGATTTTCCAACACCAGTTGCCAATGCGTGCCTGGAACTAGCTAGCTAGAAAGGAACCTTCCACCTAACCTACCCCACTTAATTATTCTTCCCCATGATCTGAAAAGTCTTTACATTAAGGTTACGTGCATGAATTTCCCTTTCATTTCATCTTATATATCCCAATCATAATCTAATCATGATCGTCATAATAATATATATGCAGTGGCGAACCCGTTGAAGAGTGATGTCAGTTAATGAACGAGTATCGGCTATAATTATTAAAGCGGTGTCGAAAATCCCGTATTAAAATTTTTTGTACCAAAAAAATATAGCTTCTTCACAAAATTTTCGAGCGAAGGGGTGTCGCCGTGTCGGACGACACCACTTAGCAACACGTAGGTCTGCCCCTATATATATGGTTTTAGATAGCATTAATTGAACAATCGTATGCTATACACCTGCGTTCACAATTTTTATTTGTACTTTGATAATACCGACGAATCAGAACCGTTAATTTTCGTTTTAAGATTATTTAAATAAATCTTATGATTTAGGTTAGAGAACCGGGAGCTGGGGTTCACTTGAGGTTATGGTATATTATCATACCCATACTCCAATTTATTCACGGTCAAAATAACAAAATTCGACGGGCGTATGGTATGATAAGCGTACACCTACATGCATATATGGTTCAAGCTAGCCTACGCCAGGCGTATGCTACACGCCTGCGTTCACACTATCGTATGCCCGTCAAGTGCTTGAGTTTTACTATTTAGATCATGAATTAACCTCAGTTTGAGGCATGATACTACACCCTAATCTCTAATGGGTGAAACCCAATTCCAAATTCTCTAACCCGAACCATAAAATTCATTTAATCTAAAATAATAATAATTGACGGTTCTGATTCATTCACATATATCCAAGTACATTCGAAAAGTGCCAAAGAGTAAAGAACAGTCACGTAACACGATTTGGACAATTTACTAGTAGGCGTGAATATCACCGGGAAACAAACAATTTGGCGCACCTCGTGGGTCTAAAGATTGTCACGGTCGCTAGACCGTGATATTGGACAGAAACGGCAGCAGTCTCCTGCGTTTTTGTCCGATGTCATGGTTGGAGCTCCAATGTCACAGCCGTGATATTCTTACCGTGAAAGTGAATGTCGGGCTGTATAAAAGAGGGCAGCTGGCAAAGAGAAGACGAGGTTGTAACTTGATTACTTTCACTTTTTCTGGGTTCCCTTCTCGGGTTCTAGCCGGAAAACCCTAAGAAGAAACCCTAGTGAGAGAAAGGTCTTTTTCTTCATAATCTAGTGAGATAAAGTGATCAACAAATAGGGATGGCAAAAATATCCGTAACCGTGGATATCCGCCCGAATCCGGCCTAATCGGGTAGGGTAAAACCCGAACCCGAAGGACATTTAGTGGATATGGGTAAAACCCGAACCCGAATATTGCGCGTAATGGGTGGGCATGGGTTTCTCAGTATCCAACCCGAACCCGCCCGATTATACACATACATATGTATTTTGTCTAGAAATAGTCATTATTTTTCTCTAACATATTTTATATTTAGCATATAAATATAATATTTTCATGAAATTGTGTTGTTTTAATTAATTTTCTTCATTCTAGTGAATTATTGTCATACTTTTCCTCTTGCTTAATGTGAGAATACGTGTGAATGTTAATATATTAGTTGGAGTTATGTATAGAAATCATTACCCGTGGATACCCGAAACCCGAGCGGGTATGGGCATGGTTTTAATTTTCTACCCGTTTCATCTGTGGGTATGGGTATGGGTAAAACCCGAACTACTTTGGGTAGGGTAACGGATATGCACTATCTGTCCCCGACCCGACCCATTGCCAACCCTATCAACAAAGATAGAATAAGAAGAAAATTTGGGCTTGCTTCAAGCTAGAGGAGTAAGACTTTCACCTCTCAAGGGAGTTCTCATCAACAAGGAGGGAAGACAAGCATATACCATGGTTTTTTCTCTCTTCTATAATTTGTTGCAATCGATAGCCTAGCTATGGAGTAGTATTCATTTTCACTTGGGTATTGTGAAACCTAGCTTTATATATGTTATAGATTGTAAGGATTGAATGCTTTGTGTGTGAGTTTGTGTTTTAATGCAATGTTTGAGGTATTTTCATAATTATTGAGTTGTGTTCTTCATTTCTCACAACCCAGTTAAATTGACCTAGGTGGAGAGAAACCCCCTTTTGTAAGAGGCTTTGAGAAGCTGGATTTATTGGCCATTTGCGTCACCCATCTAGGGAAATTTAGGGCAAGCTTCAAGCTTCGATCTAGCACCTTGATTGGTTGTTACTTTTCCGTCTGGATTAAGTTCAGAGGGATTAGTTTGGCAACCCTCGGTTGATTGGCCAAGAGAGCTAGTGCCCTAGCCTAAGTTGACATTCCGTGGCCTATCATCCGAGAGAGTGACATTCCTTCACTAGTTGTACCCTCATTACAGTGGATGAACGCACTATCACACACTTGCATGCTATTCGGTTGATCTTGATATGTAGGTAGGGGGAGCAATACCCGGGTGAATTCTTCTCTTATTGGGACAACCTCGATTTACTGTTTTTATAGTTTACTTCGTAGTTTTCTTATTTTTAATCTCCAAATCGTTTGCTAGAAAACAACTTAAACAATTGAAGTAGGGGTACATGGACCGGCCCGGGTTAACATTTAAAATTCTTGCCCTATACTGCACCCTACTAGAGTGTATACTTGGGCTCTAGTCGGGATTTTCTTTTCTGTTAGTCGGAGTGAGTTAGTACATATAACAAGTGTGAATGCAGGTGTATAGCGTATGATAGTCATACGCTTGTCTTTGTCATCTTGTCTTTGTCATATGTATATGGTAAATTTCAGATTTGGTCACTAGGTTTACTAAAAGTTCGACGTTTGGTTACTAAAAACATTTTATTCCCTTCATGGTCACTAAAATTAGTTCAACAATTCAAGTTTCGTCACTCTCTATTAGTCTCCGTTATACTTATCTTATGTGACAAGCAACTCTAACAGTTGAATATTAAATTAGTGACATGGCAATAATAAAATAATTAATTAATAAAATTTAAACCATCACAATTTTTACCTCATATTCACAACCATTAAAAAATATAACTTACTTTCTTATTCTTCCATGAACACCTAAACCCTAGCCTTCCTCCTCCACCATCTCGGCGTCGGAAGCGTCGAGCAGACCCACCATCATTGGTGTCGACATCAGTTGGGACTCATTGAGAATCACACACACAAAATCGTTCTTCTCGTTGCTACAACCGTCGTCTCTTGTCATGATGAAGTGGTGGAGGATCCACTTGAAATTCTCGTTGGTGAATTTGGGATTAGTCGCAGTTGGAAGCCACATCGAGCAGATTCTCGTGTTATGTCTGACCACCACGTCCCCCGTCGCTCTTTCCCGAGTAGGATAATACATGTATCCATTAAATGGCTAGAATCGACCATGGCTCCAACTGAGGGAATACCAAATAGACGCTAGGCATCTTTAGAAGCCGTCTCTACGGCAGATCTACAATAACAATATGAAGGTAAAAACATTGGTTGGAACTTCAAATTCGGCCTTTGTTTCGAATCCACTATTCCGAATTCCATCTCATGTGGACGTCGGAGATGAGGAGCCCCGACGGAAGAGATGGACCCCACAATAGCTTTGTGATGCTCTTGAGGAGACTAGCCGAGATTGGAGCCTGGGGAAGATTTTGGTTAAGGTGATGTACTCAATCGCAGTATATAAGAGTTCCCTTCGTGTTCACTTGCGTATCAAGAAAAATGACGACCATCGTGTCCATTCGGGAACATCGCCACCACTCTTACGGAAGCGTCCTCTTCGCGCACATTCCACGCCGAGCACCATCCCCACCATCAATTGATCACTACCCAAAAGAGAGGAGAATGTGGAAAATACAGAAAACCCTTATTCCGATGTTGATGGTGTATCAGAGTATGGAGAATGAGAGACTTTTTCCCAATATACTGTAGAAATTAGAAATAAAAATTCCTATAATACATAACTTTTAAAAATATTTCTCAAAATATCAAAGTTTGGCACGGTTCAAGTTTCCTAAACTCGAACTACAAACCAGATCAACGTTCCAACTCGAACAAATAATGGATCGAGGGTCAGCAACTCGATCATAGGTGGATCGATCACAAGAAACTCTATCCAGTTAGATCGAGTTTGCCTGACTCGATCTAGGTTGATCGTGGCTCTATGAATCGATCCATATGAATTATTGCACGAAGATTATTGGTGGCACTAGATTGAGGATTATGGACTCGAACTGCACCTAGTTCGAGTGCTCGAGGCTCGAACCACTTTCCTGTTATTCTGCCAAGTCGCTTTCCACACGACATGCTTCAGGATAGGGTGCAGGGATACAATTTTTGGTCCTAGTGGATCGAGTCCCTTGCACGCGAACTACACTAGTTCGATGGACACGACCTTGAACCACGTCATCAGTTTACGAAAATAAAAACCAAACTCTCATCACATTCTGGCAGCTCATATACTTTCTATCTTCTTTATTCCAAACACAAACTGCAGCAGTTGGAGCACCATAGCTGAGCAAATAAGAAGCATTTTGGAGGTAAGTTCGGATTATGTTGGTGAATGAGCATTATAATTTTGGATTAATTTAGTAATGTTAGAACTATATGTGATGAGTTGTTCCTGTTGTCAAAAAAAAAAAAGAGTTTTTCCTAAAAACTGCAGAAATGGGTAAAAAAATTCGAAAATTCGAACTATTGATTTGGTGGAATGATCAAATTACATATTTTCATAATAGTATTGACTACGAAGTTGCATAGGGAGGAGAAGAGTATGCAAGATGACTTACCATATGTCGGTTTACAAAGGATATGCACTTGTATATGAAGGATCAATTATTTCTGACGACATTAATATGTTGGTGAGATTTATTGCAGAAAATAAATTTCCAATTGCCGATGTGTATGTCGAGACTGAAGATGTTGGCCAGTATGGTTGTTGGGGTTATAAAGAACAAGATCAAGGATCGGTTGGAGTTCTGGTTCTGAAGATTTTGGAGGTCCGGATGATGTACCATGGTCAAGATATAAGTATCGAACTGCACCTAGTCCATTGGTTGAACATGATGGACAAGAGTGGCCAATATGGGGTGAAGAATGGGTTGGATGGCCAATCACTGACTGTACCCCGTAGATCCTTTCTGTATTTGTGGACTTATATACGTACTGTCGTGGGAGAGGAATTGGCTCCGCCCAATTATATTGTCAGACTCATCTATCCAGGAGGTGCCACTCGACAATGTTGTGGCAAATCACAAGCAACTTGCACAACCAAAGTCGACGATCCTCAGGGTGCCGCAACTCGTACAACTCCTCTGATCCGTTCAGATACGGATCCCACTCTAGCTAAGTTTCAACAAATATATTAAGGTCCATACAAATAATTTCAACAAATAAAATAGCATTCATATACATAAAAAAAATAAATTAATGGTCAAGACAAATAATTTCAAAAAATAAAATAGCATTCATATTCGTAAAAATAAATTAATGGCCAAGACAAATAATTTCAACAAATAAAATAACATTCATATTCATAAAAATAAATTAATGGCCAAGAAAAATAATTTCAACAAATAAAATAACATTCATATTCATAAAAATAAATTAATGACCAAGAAAAATAAGTTCAACAAATAAAATAGCATTCATATTCATAAAAATAAAATAATGACCAAGACATAATTTCAACAAATAAAATAGCATTCTTATTCATACAAATAAATTAATGGCCAAAATAAATAATTTCAACGAATAAAATACTATTCATATTCATACAAATAAATTAATGTTAATAAACTAGAATGTTACCTCGTTGAACTCTATACTGTCAAGATTTTGGCGGTACCCGACTAGGGAGGAGAGTCTCGTGATAGCTTCAATTCATATAACACCATAAGCCGCTTGTCGTAGTGGCTATTCGGGACCCCAACTATCGGCAGGGCAGATCGGAGTGAAAGTAGCAGGTGCTCCCAAACACATAGTTGGAGGATGAACATGGCACCACCCGCTTGCTTTGTTTTCGGGTCCGTACACTTGCACAACTCCGCAATTATCATTGCCAAACAAGCAAATCCCCAACTTTTTCTCCCAATCTCATCCCAGTCTCCCAAAAGAACTCAGAGCCACATACAATGCATATTTCCACCAGACTTGTTCGGAAACAAAAATCCTCCAACCAAAAAAATCAGGTAAATGCGAGCATGCCTCTCTATCTGAGCATCTGTGGTATCCTCTGGCAACGTACCAAAGGTCCTCACTAGCCAAGGGATCGATAGCATAGACTTGTTTAGAGATGGTACACAATGACCTTGTGGTGCTTTCTCGGGGATGTTGATGCCTGAATGCTCACTTATTAATTCAACTCGGCCATTCAATGATTTTTGTGAACTCTCTATTATGGCATCACCATTGATTGGAAGCTCTGTCAGCATGGCCACGCTCTTCAACGTAATTGTCATCTCTCCCTCCAAAAAGTGGATTGTGTGCGTTTCTTCTTCCACCTTTACACCATTGTCGTAAGGAGGTTGTTGTCCATGTCCATCCCCACAAAGTTTCACAACCTCAGCAATACCGCTCTTTCAATGAAGGGCTCGATCCGAACATCCCATTCAGGAAAGCGAGATAGCGACCGATGGGTGATTACGTCAAGTTGTTCCTGTAGAAAAAAAAAACTCTTAATTATTTTAGGAAAAAATTAAAATAATAATATCGCATTTGAAAACATGAGGAAAAAGAGTGGAGTGGTGTGAGTTTTGGTGGAATGAGGTGGGAGGGGATATTTATAGGTCATGTGGGTGGTAGTGGATCGAGGGAAGGAAACTCGAACTATTATCTCGAGTTTGCTGTCTTCGATCCTTGTCAATCTCAGTTTGGGGCAGGGCAAATCGAATGGGGGGATCGAGTTTTGGACACTCGATCTACGATGAACCGCTTCCAACATCATCTATCTGTATCAACTGGATCGAGTCCCAAGGCGTCGATCCACTTACATCGAGTGTTTTACACTCAATCTGTGTCACCCCTAGTTCCCTGTAGAGGGAATCGAACAGACTGGATTGATTTTCATACACTCGATCAAGGGTAAAGGGAGTCCAACATCATCAATATGTATCAACTGAATCGAGTCCAGATGCGTCGATTCTCTTTGATCGACTTTCTTACACTCAATCCGCATCGTCGGGTTAGCCAATCGTGGTCCTTGCACTCGTTGCATATGGATCGATGATGTGGCAATCGATCCGGTTGCAGTTTGAGTTTCTTAGACTCGACCTCTGCCAAACTTTGGCATTTTGGAAAAAAATTATAACAGTTGTGTATTGTAGGAATTTATTTTTAATTTTTACTTGTATTTAGAGAAAAAATTCGAGAATGAGTTATTTGGACAGAGCAATGATTCCCACCAGGAGGAGTTACGGCTACATTGACATTTAGGGGTGTTCAAATGGTTACCATGGTTATAACCAAACCAAATAAGGCTAAATTCCATTAACCATGGAATACAATATCATAACCAAACCGTCCAAACTAATACAATAACCAAATTAACCAAACTAAAGTTTAATCGGTTTGGTTAATTGGTTAACCAGATTAACCAATATAAAATCACATTATCATTGACGATAAATTTTTTTTGGTTAATGCAACAATTCGCAATTTATATAATGAATAAAACATAACAATCAACACGTAGTTATAGTTGACCCTTAACAAAAATACATGCAACTAAGACAATTATCTTAAGAATAGTATAGAAGTATTCACCTAACAAAAAATTATGACAATGGTATGGGTTAATGAATTGTTGTGTTTGTGTAAATTGACTTAGTCTCTTAGCAATTATCATAGGCTGGAAATGACCTTCCTTTCAAGTTTTCATTCATCATAATGTATGAAATTTATCTAAATTAAGCGTCCATATGTTGTGGTCTAGACTTTACATATACAAATATACACTATATGAGCAATATTGAGCTTTATATTTTATGAGTCTAAAAGGGATGAACGTTAACTCTTGAGTGGTTATGCAAAGTATTATGTGTATATAATATATGTTAGATATATGACTAATTACTTAACTGGTTAATTTGGTTTGACTGGTTAGGAGTGTCTGAAAACAAACCAAACCACCTAAACCAAACAAGCTAAAAACTTTAACCAAATCAAATCAATTATCCAAATTAACCAAACCAAATTATCCAAATAGTACCGGTTAAAACGGTTACCACGGTAACCAAACCGTTTGAACACCCCTAATTGACAAGGGGGTTGGAGTGAGGCAATTGGAATGACACGAAGGTG